GCAACCGCTGGCTTCGTCAACCACAAGCAGTAAGTATCTGCTGCCGCCGATCGAGACTTGTTCCATTGGCCCGCAGATGTCGAAGTGCAGCAACTCGAACACACCATATTGGCGTTTGTCACGGTTGGTTGGGAATGGTTTTTGGACCATCTTTCCTTGCTGGCAACCGCGACACACACTTGGACCAGTCGAGTTGAGAGATGCCTTTTGCGTCCTTGATCATGCCGGTGGCCACCATCTTGCGCAGAACTTCGAGGGGTGCATGACCCATGCGCGCATGCAAGTCGATAGTCCCATTGCGTGTCGCTGCATTCGCCGATCGTTGAGGAGTCCGCAGCCAGTAAAGTCGGTCGACGAGATCCGCTGTTGCCACGACTTGTGTGGAATTCTTGCGCTTCACTTGCATCTTGGATCCATCGAACACGACTTGGAACCTGCCACCCTTGTTGATCTGTGGCACCGAAAGCAGATTCTTGCTCATACTTGGTACGAACAGTGCGTCCTTGATCTCGATGTCGCGTTCGTCACCATTGGGCAGAACCACCCGTTCCATGATGGTTCCCACACCCTTGATCGCAGCCTTGCTGCCATCAGCCACTGATAGTTCGCCTTCCTCTCGCTCATTCAGGCTTGCAAACTTGGCCTTGTCGTTGCAGATGTGATGCGTCGCACCGCTGTCGACTGCCCACATCCCTGGCATATTCTTGCCCGTCGAAAGTCCAGCCTCCAGCGAAACCGCGAACGCAACTCGATCGTAGTTGTCGTCGTTGTTGTTGTTGGTCCGCCACTGAACGTTGTTGGCTCCGCGTCCACGAGCATTGTTGCCGCCGCGTCGAGCTCCACCTTGATTTTCGTCCTTCTGCTTGGTCCAGCACCGCTCCGCCGTGTGCCCCAATTTTCCGCAGTATGTACACTGGCGAGGTTCACGCTCGGTACTGAACGCCTTCGCCGCGTCTTCAGTCTTCACCGATGTCGTCTTGTCACCTTGCCTCTTAATGTGCTCATTCGTGAGCACTCTCACGACGTCTCGCGATCGCAGTTCCGCGCTGCTCATCTCCAAGTTGAGAACGACGTTCTCGTAGCTCTTGGGGAGGCTGTGCAACAAGCAGATCGCCACGTCCTCGTCCTCCATCTTGGCGCCGATGCTGCTGAGCTTCGCGCTGATGTTGAGGACTTCGTTGCAATGATGCATCACATTGCCGCCTTCCGCCATCTCCATGCTGAACAGCTGGCGCTTCAAGTAGATGCGTCCAGCCTTCTGCGACCCGCCGTACAGCGTCTTCAAACGCGCCCACGCGACTCACGCCTCTTCACAGTCATCAACCACGTGATGATACTACGCGCTCATGTGCAGCAGCATCAAGCCGAACGCAATGTTGTTAGTCTTGACGTAGTCGTCACTGGCGCGAGGATCGGCGAAGGTGGGGGTGTTCTCCCGGTTCACCACGTGCCACGCCGACTTGGTCAGGAACACGCCACGCATGTAGCGGCTCCACGTCGCGTAGTTGTCGCCGTCGAACTTGTTAATGGAGATCTTGGTGGTGGCATCATGAGCAGAGGACATCGTTTTTGGGCTCATAACCTGTTGATAGGTGCAAAGCTTGACGACCGAAACTGGGAGTGATGCTGGGAGTCCACTCGGAAGACCGGAGAAGACGCTTGGGGGTAGATGGAAGATTGGAAAGTGATTGATTATCGGGGCTTATTACTTACTACATGATTTATACGTGGTGCACATATAAATCATGTGAAGCGTCTCATCATCCTACGCGTCCAATCAACTATGGTAATTACCGTAAGAACTACGTCGTAAATACTAAGCTGAATAGGCGGTTCGGATTGGACCGATCACGGTTACCAATACTGGTAGGAAAACGATGACCGTCAACACCTTCCGGATACGTTCCACTCGCAGCTGTTGTATCACATCGCCTTGCATCGTTCCTTAGAATATTCTAATGGGTGACCTTAGTAGGGTTACGGCGAATATTTTAACCGTCAGATCCTGGTCTTTAAGGATTAGCAGCCCTTTCAGTTGATTGATCACTTCCAAAACTGACCACTCTTCCCTCGGTACCAGCTCGACCCCTTCTTTTCTGTGTAATGCTTCACTGCCCAGATGGTCCGCACTCTTGTTATAAACTCTCTTCACGCGGAGTATCTCATGGGAAGTCCACGACTGAAGCTTGTTCAGAGCTCTTGCTCACAACGTAGACAACCCTGAAGCCTCGTACTCGAATTCTGTGCGCATCTGACGGACAACTAGATTGGAGTACCCACAGATTATTGAACGCCGTCGTTCCAAAGGTTTTCGTAACTCAATGTACAGCAACAGGCCTTCTTATTCGGCTTCATTTAACATAGATGCATTGAGATATTTGAGGCGGCGCTTACTACCGACCACGGAGGCAGGCTCCATACAACAGCACAACAAGCATCTCTGCCTTGCTTCACACAAGCCCTTCCGTCAAAACTCAGTACACGTAGCTCCCCTTCTCTTTCCACAGTGGTCGTGGATTAAAAACCTTCTATTTTGCCTGTATCTTGGGTGTGATAGCCGATAGGATCGAGTCTACGCTTTCGCGGGGGTGGGGTGGGGGTAATACGGGCTGCTAACACCCTCAGCAACTGGTCTTCGCCTTTCTTGCACCTCACAATCTCTAATGTCCACTGTGACAAGGAGCGGCTTAACTTACCAAACGCCCCTGCAAACTGTTGACGGTCATCGGTTTTCTACCAGTATTGGTAACCGTGATCGGTCCAATCCGAACCGCCTATTCAGCTTAGTATTTACGACGTAGTTCTTACGGTAATTACCATAGTTGATTAGACGCGTAGGATGATGAGACGCTTCACATGATTTATATGTGGTACACATATAAATCATGTAGTAACTAGTAAGTCCCGATAATCAATCACTTTCGAATCTTCCAACTATTGGGCAAGTGATTTCTGCTCTACTCTCTTCGGTCTCTCCGCTCCGTTCGCTCCGCTTTCCTCGCTCCGATCTACAATGCAACAGGTTATGAGCCCAAGCGCCATGTCGTCCACCAGCAACGCCTCCATTGACAAGTTCAACGGAGACAATTACGCAACGTGGAGCCGGTACATGCGCGGTGTGTTTTTGACGAAGTCCGTCTGGCACGTCGTCAACCGTGAAGTGACTCCGACTTTCACCGACCCGCGAGCGTCCGATGACTACGTCAAGGCAAGCAACGTCGCGTTTGGTATGATGCTGCTGCACATGAACGCGGACTACCATCATGTGCTGGACAACTGCGAGGAAGCCTGGGTTGCGTGGACAAGTCTGAAGACGCTGTACGGTGGGTCGCAGAAGGCAGGACGCATCTACCTCAAGCGACAACTTTTCAGTATCAAGATGGCTGAAGGCGCGAACGTCATGCATCACTGCAACGAGGTCCTCAACATCTCCGCCAAGCTTAGCGGCATCGGTGCGAAGATGGAAGACGAAGACGTTGCAATTTGTCTGCTACTCAGTCTTCCGAAGAGCTACGAAAATGTGGTGCTCAACATGGAAATGAGCAGCACCGAGCTTCGCACTCAAGATGTGGTGAGAGTCCTGACGAATGAGCATGCCAAGCGTCAAGGAGAAAAAGGGACAACAACAGCGACGATGGTCAAGAGTGAAGATGCAGCCAAGGCCTTCAACACTGAGCGGGAGCCATACAAGTGCATCTACTGTGGCAAGGTGGGACACACGGTGGATCGTTGCTGGACAAAGCAGAAGAACGAAGGTCGGGGAGCCCGACGCGGCGGCAATGGTCGTGGACGCGGGGCTAACAATGTCCAGTGGGGACATCATGATGAAGGCAATGTCTACGATCGAGTGGCGTTGCAGTCTCGTTCGAATGTGGATTTTCGACGAGCTAGGACGTGTCTGGAATGTGGGCCGTCGACAGTGGTGCAACGCACCACATTTGCCACGACAAGACCAAGTTCGCAAATTTGGCAGAGCGCAATGAGGGCGAACTCTTGGTGGCTGATGGCAACAAGGTGGCCATCAAGGGTGTGGGAACCATCATGGAAAAGGTGGTTCTGCCCAACGGTGAAGAGCGTGAGATCGAAATCAAGAACGCTCTATATGTTCCAAGTATGAGCAAGAACCTGCTCTCGGTGCCACAGATTAACAGCCATGGCAAGTTTCAAGTCGTGTTTGACGGGTCCAAGATGTATGTGACTCTCAAGAACTCACAGCAAGTGGTGGCGACAGCGGATCTCGTGGATGGACTCTACTGGCTTCGGACGACTCAACGATCAGCGAATGTGACAACAAGTGGAACCAGTTGTGCCGATCTACATGCGAGAATGGGTCATGCTCCAGTCGATGTACTTCGCAAGATGATCGCGACCAACATGATCAAGGATGTGCGAGTCCCTCTCAAGTCGGGTGGAGCAACTACATGTCGAGGATGTCAACAAGGGAAAATGGTCCAAAAACCATTTCCAAGCAACCGAGACAAGCGCAGCTACGATACGTTTGAGCTACTTCATCTGGACATCTGCGGGCCCATGGAAAAGGATTCGCTCGGTGGCAGCAAATATTTGCTGCTGATCATCGACGAAGCCAGTGGATGCATGAAGGGCTTTTGTCTACGAGTGAAGTCCGAGAGTGAAGACTACATCCGGAAATATATCACCATGGTACAGACGCAATTCTGTAAGAAGGTCAAGTTCGTGCGACACGACGGAGCTCGCGAGTTTGCAACCAACTCGCTTCAACTGTTCTACGAAGACGAAGGCATTGAACAGCAGACAACGGTGCCGTATGCACATCAAACAAACGGAACAGCAGAGCGTGCCATTAGGACTATTGTCACGATCGGCCGCAGCATGCTTCATCATGCCAAACTGGACAAGTGTTTCTGGGCCGAAGCAGCGATGACGGCCATCTACGTCAAGAATCGACTGCCGTCACCTAAAGTCGTGCACAAGACCCCGTTTGAGATCGTCTACAACTTGAAACCAAGCGTCAAGCACATGCGAACATTCGGGTGTCAGGCACACATACTGACGCCTAAAGAGAATCGACTCAAGTGGGATCCAAAGGCTCGCGCTGGCATATTCGTGGGCTACGAAGAAGTTTCGAAGGCATATCGTGTTTATGACATCGAGGCGGGGCAGGTGGTTATCAGCCGCGATGTCAACTTCGACGAGTCCACCTTTGGACTTCAACTGCCGATCACTGATGAAGATGTCGATGACCTGGACTTCGAATTGCTGGATCTTGATGACGAAGAGCTGCGTCAAATGGAGTACAAGCAAACAGGCAAGCGCAAGAACCGACTCAATGATGAAGATACAGCAGCTCCACGACCGCGTGCAGTGCGTCAACGACCAGGACTAGAAGAGTCAAGCGCGCCGGAAAACAACTCGTCACGCCAAGAAGAAGACGAAGAAACGAAGGATTCTGGTGATTCAACACCGCCTGTGTTTTGCGTGCGAGTGCAAAGCTGTTGAAGCAGCAGTGGAGTTGTCGGAACCGTCGACATTTGAAGCAGCAGTAAGCGGCCCTGACCAAGTGCACTGGAGAAAAGCAATTCATGCAGAGCTCGAGTCAATGCGACTTCGCGGTGTGTTTCGTGCTGCCAAGCTGCCCAACGGACAACGCGCCATTGGCACAAAATGGGTGTTCAAGATCAAGCGCAAGGCGGATGGGTCAATCGAGAAGTACAAGGCACGACTTGTGGCCAAGGGTTTCCGCCAAAAGTATGGCATCGACTACACGGAGACGTTTTCGCCTGTGGTCAAGTATGTGACGCTGCGAATGGTGATCGCAATTTCCAAGCATTTTGGATGGCGCATCGACCAGCTTGATGTGGTGACAGCTTTCCTGTATGGCGTCATGAAGGAACAAGTGTTCTGCGTGATTCCTGAAGGCGTCGAACTTGACAGTACGTTCGACTGCCTGGAATTGGTGAAGTCAATTTACGGCCTCAAGCAAGCGTCGCGAGTGTGGAACGAGACGTTCGACGAGTATGTGTGCTCCATCGGATTTCAAGTATCGGACTTCGACCCATGTCTCTACATCAAGACTTCGGACGGCCATTGCGTGTTTATACTGGTCGACGTGGACGACGTCTTGGTGACTGGAAGCTCGCTCGAGCTGATTGCACAAACCAAGAACGACCTGAAGACGCGGTTCGAGATGACGGACAGCGGCAAGTGTTCGTTTGTTCTTGGGATCGAGCTTTTGGACGGTGAAGATGGCAGTGTGACACTATGTCAGCGTCGGTATGTCGATGATATCCTCAAGCGCTTTGGCATGGATGATTGCAAGGCAGTCGCAAGTCCAGTCGACATGAGCTCTCGACTTGTTTCAAGTGATGCAACTACCAAGGTCGATGCTCCTTTTCGCGAAGCTGTTGGTGCGTTGATGCACCTGACCACTGCAACGCGTCCGGACATTGCGTTTGCTGTGGGCTATGTGTCGCGGTTCATGGAAAATCCCCAAGAAGAACACTGGGTTGCAGTTAAGCGTATCTTTCGCTACCTACAAGGCACCAAGACGCATGGAATTTGCTACAAGCCAAGTGCAAGGATCGACTTCCGTGGATATTCGGATGCGGATTGGGCTGGTGATCTTACCGACCGCAAGCCAACATCGGGGTACACGTTCATGCTACTCGGTGCGCCAGTGAGTTGGGGCAGCAAGAAGCAGCCAAGTGTTTCGTTGTCCACGACTGAAGCTGAATACATCGCACTCAGCTTGGCGATTCAAGAGGGCAAGTGGATTCATCGTCTGCTTTGTGAGATCGTGATGGCTGCCAATGAAGAAGGACCGGAACTCATGATTCATGAAGACAATCAGTCATGTATCAAGATGACGAAGAACCCGGTCAACCACGGCCGTGCCAAGCACATTGATATCAAGTACCATCACATCCGTGATGAGGTCAAGCGCGGTGAAGTGAAGCTCAAGTACTGTGAAACTGCGGTGATGTTAGCGGACATCATGACGAAGGGACTTCATGGACCACGCCACAAGGAGATGACGACGGCTCTCGGGATTCGTGAGCATTCGGATTGAGGGGGCGTGTTGACGGTCATCGGTTTCTACCAGTATTGGTAACCGTGACCGATCCAATCCGAACCGCCTGTTCAGCTTAGTATTTACGACGTAGTTCTTACGGTAATTACCATAGTTGATTAGACGCGTAGGATGATGAGACGCTTCACATGATTTATATGTGCACCACATATAAATCATGTAGTAAGTAGTAAGCCCCGATAATCAATCACTTTCATATTCTCCTTCTGCCAAGCAAGTCTTCTCTGCTCCGCTCCTCAAGCCTCTTCGCTCCCTCCGATCTCTTCCGGTCTTCTCGTCACTCCCGTGCCATACCATCAACAATTCGCACTCAAGATGTGGTGAGAGTCCTAACGAATGAGCATGCCAAGCGTCAAGGAGAAAAAGGGACAACGACAGCGACTACGGTGAAGGCTGAAGATGCAAGCAAGGCATTCAGCGCCGAGCGTGAGCCCTACCAATGCACGTATTGTGGCAAGGTGGGTCACACGGTGGATCGTTGCTGGACAAAGCAGAAGAACGAAGGTCGGGGAGCCCGACGCGGCGGCAATGGTCGTGGACGCGGGGCTAACAATGTCCAGTGGGGACATCAGGATGAAGGCAATGGCTACGATCGAGTGGCGTTTGCAGTCTCGTTCGAATGTGGAGTTTCGACGAGCAAGAACGTGTCTGGAATGTGGGCCGTCGACAGTGGTGCAACGCACCACATTTGCCACGACAAGACCAAGTTCGCAAATTTGGCAGAGCGCAATGAGGGCGAACTCTTGGTGGCTGATGGCAACAAGGTGGCCATCAAGGGTGTGGGAACCATCATGGAAAAGGTGGTTCTGCCCAACGGTGAAGAGCGTGAGATCGAAATCAAGAACGCCCTATATGTTCCAAGTATGAGCAAGAACCTGCTCTCGGTGCCACAGATTAACAGCCATGGCAAGTTTCAAGTCGTGTGTGACGGGTCCAAGATGCATGTGACTCTCAAGAACTCACAGCAAGTGGTGGCGACAGCGGATCTCGTGGATGGACTCTACTGGCTTCGGACGACTCAACGATCAGCGAATGTGACAACAAGTGGAACCAGTTGTGCCGATCTACATGCGAGAATGGGTCATGCTCCAGTCGATGTACTTCGCAAGATGATCGCGACCAACATGATCAAGGATGTGCGAGTCCCTCTCAAGTCGGGTGGAGCAACTACATGTCGAGGATGTCAACAAGGGAAAATGGTCCAAAAACCATTTCCAAGCAACCGAGACAAGCGCAGCTACGATACGTTTGAGCTACTTCATCTGGACATCTGCGGGCACATGGAAAAGGATTCGCTCGGTGGCAGCAAATATTTGCTGCTGATCATCGACGAAGCCAGTGGATGCATGAAGGGCTTTTTGTCTACGAGTGAAGTCCGAGAGTGAAGACTACATCCGGAAATATATCACCATGGTACAGACGCAATTCTGTAAGAAGGTCAAGTTCGTGCGACACGACGGAGCTCGCGAGTTTGCAACCAACTCGCTTCAACTGTTCTACGAAGACGAAGGCATTGAACAGCAGACAACGGTGCCGTATGCACATCAAACAAACGGAACAGCAGAGCGTGCCATTAGGACTATTGTCACGATCGGCCGCAGCATGCTTCATCATGCCAAACTGGACAAGTGTTTCTGGGCCGAAGCAGCGATGACGGCCATCTACGTCAAGAATCGACTGCCGTCACCTAAAGTCGTGCACAAGACCCCGTTTGAGATCGTCTACAACTTGAAACCAAGCGTCAAGCACATGCGAACATTCGGGTGTCAGGCACACATACTGACGCCTAAAGAGAATCGACTCAAGTGGGATCCAAAGGCTCGCGCTGGCATATTCGTGGGCTACGAAGAAGTTTCGAAAGCATATCGTGTTTATGACATCGAGGCGGGGCAGGTGGTTATCAGCCGCGATGTCAACTTCGACGAGTCCACCTTTGGACTTCAACTGCCGATCACTGATGAAGATGTCGATGACCTGGACTTCGAATTGCTGGATCTTGATGACGAAGAGCTGCGTCAAATGGAGTACAAGCAAACAGGCAAGCGCAAGAACCGACTCAATGATGAAGATACAGCAGCTCCACGACCGCGTGCAGTGCGTCAACGGCCAGGACTAGAAGAGTCAAGCGCGCCGGAAAACAACTCGTCACGCGAAGAAGAAGACGAAGAAACGAAGGATTCTGGTGATTCAACACCGCCTGTGTTTTGGCGTGCGAGTGCAAATGCCGTTGAAGCAGCAGTGGACTTATCAGAGCCCTCAACATTTGAAGCAGCAGTAAGCGGCCCTGACCAAGTGCACTGGAGAAAAGCAATTCATGCAGAGCTCGAGTCAATGCGACTTCGCGGTGTGTTTCGTGCAGCCAAGCTGCCCAACGGACAACGCGCCATTGGCACAAAATGGGTGTTCAAAATCAAGCGCAAGGCGGATGGGTCAATCGAGAAGTACAAGGCATGACATGTGGCCAAGGGTTTCCGCCAAAAGTATGGCATCGACTACACGGAGACGTTTTCGCCTGTGGTCAAGTATGTGACGCTGCGAATGGTGATCGCAATTTCCAAGCATTTTGGATGGCCCATCGAACAGCTTGATGTGGTGACAGCTTTCCTGTATGGCGTCATGAAGGAACAAGTGTTCTGCGTGATTCCTGAAGGCGTCGAACTTGACAGTACGTTCGACTGCCTGGAATTGGTGAAGTCAATTTACGGCCTCAAGCAAGCGTCGCGAGTGTGGAACGAGACGTTCGACGAGTATGTGTGCTCCATCGGATTTCAAGTATCGGACTTCGACCCATGTCTCTACATCAAGACTTCGGACGGCCATTGCGTGTTTATACTGGTCGACGTGGACGACGTCTTGGTGACTGGAAGCTCGCTCGAGCTGATTGCACAAACCAAGAACGACCTGAAGACGCGGTTCGAGATGACGGACAGCGGCAAGTGTTCGTTTGTTCTTGGGATCGAGCTTTTGGACGGTGAAGATGGCAGTGTGACACTATGTCAGCGTCGGTATGTCGATGATATCCTCAAGCGCTTTGGCATGGATGATTGCAAGGCAGTCGCAAGTCCAGTCGACATGAGCTCTCGACTTGTTTCAAGTGATGCAACTACCAAGGTCGATGCTCCTTTTCGCGAAGCTGTTGGTGCGTTGATGCACCTGACCACTGCAACGCGTCCGGACATTGCGTTTGCTGTGGGCTATGTGTCGCGGTTCATGGAAAATCCCCAAGAAGAACACTGGGTTGCAGTTAAGCGTATCTTTCGCTACCTACAAGGCACCAAGACGCATGGAATTTGCTACAAGCCAAGTGCAAGGATCGACTTCCGTGGATATTCGGATGCGGATTGGGCTGGTGATCTTACCGACCGCAAGTCAACATCGGGGTACACGTTCATGCTACTCGGTGCGCCAGTGAGTTGGGGCAGCAAGAAGCAGCCAAGTGTTTCGTTGTCCACGACTGAAGCTGAATACATCGCACTCAGCTTGGCGATTCAAGAGGGCAAGTGGATTCATCGTCTGCTTTGTGAGATCGTGATGGCTGCCAATGAAGAAGGACCGGAACTCATGATTCATGAAGACAATCAGTCATGTATCAAGATGACGAAGAATCCTGTCAACCATGGCCGTGCCAAGCACATCGACATCAAGTACCATCACATCCGTGATGAGGTCAAGCGCGGCGAAGTCAAGCTCAAGTACTGTGAGACTGCGGTGATGTTAGCAGACATCATGACCAAGGCACTTCATGGACCGCGTCACAAGGAGATGACGACGGCTCTCGGGATTCGTGAGCATTCGGATTGAGGGGGCGTGTTGACGGTCATCGGTTTTCTACCAGTATTGGTAACCGTTACCGATCCAATATGAGCCGCCTGTTCAGCTTAGTATTTACGACGTAGTTCTTACGGTAATTACCATAGTTGATTAGACGCGTAGGATGATGAGACGCTTCACATGATTTATATGTGGTACACATATAAATCATGTAGTAAGTAGTAAGTCCCGATAATCAACCACTTTCGAATCTTCCAACTATTGGGCAAGTTATTTCTGCTCTACCCTCTTCGGCCTCTCCGCTCCGTTCGCTCCGCTTTCCTCGCTCCGATCTACAATGCAACACGCTTGACTCTTCTAGTCCTGGTCGTTGACGCACTGCACGCGGTCGTGGAGCTGCTGTATCTTCATCATTGAGTCGGTTCTTGCGCTTGCCTGTTTGCTTGTACTCCATTTGACGCAGCTCTTCGTCATCAAGATCCAGCAATTCGAAGTCCAGGTCATCGACATCTTCATTAGTGATCGGCAGTTGAAGTCCAAAGGTGGACTCGTCGAAGTTGACATCGCGGCTGATAACCACCTGCCCCGCCTCGATGTCATAAACACGATATGCTTTCGAAACTTCTTCGTAGCCCACGAATATGCCAGCGCGAGCCTTTGGATCCCACTTGAGTCGATTCTCTTTAGGCGTCAGTATGTATGTCTGACACCCGAATGTTCGCATGTGCTTGACGCTTGGTTTCAAGTTGTAGACGATCTCAAACGGGGTCTTGTGCACGACTTTAGGTGACGGCAGTCGATTCTTGACGTAGATGGCCGTCATCGCTGCTTCGGCCCAGAAACACTTGTCCAGTTTGGCATGATGAAGCATGCTGCGGCCGATCGTGACAATAGTCCTAATGGCACGCTCTGCTGTTCCGTTTGTTTGATGTGCATACGGCACCGTTGTCTGCTGTTCAATGCCTTCGTCTTCGTAGAACAGTTGAAGCGAGTTGGTTGCAAACTCGCGAGCTCCATCGTGTCGCACGAACTTGACCTTCTTACAGAATTGCGTCTGTACCATGGTGATATATTTCCGGATGTAGTCTTCACTCTCGGACTTCACTCGTAGACAAAAGCCCTTCATGCATCCACTGGCTTCGTCGATGATCAGCAGCAAATATTTGCTGCCACCGAGCGAATCCTTTTCCATGTGCCCGCAGATGTCCAGATGAAGTAGCTCAAACGTATCGCAGCTGCGCTTGTCTTGGTTGCTTGGAAATGGTTTTTGGACCATTTTCTCTTGTTGACATCCTCGACATGTAGTTGCTCCACCCGACTTGAGAGGGACTCGCACATCCTTGATCATGTTGGTTGTTGACGGTCATCGGTTTCTACCAGTATTGGTAACCGTTACCGATCCAATATGAACCGCCTGTTCAGCTTAGTATTTACGACGTAGTTCTTACGGTAATTACCATAGTTGATTAGACGCGTAGGATGATGAGACGCTTCACATGATTTATATGTGGTACACATATAAATCATGTAGTAAGTAGTAAGTCCCGATAATCAACCACTTTCGAATCTTCCAACTATTGGGCAAGTGATTTCTGCTCTACTCTCTTCGGTCTCTCCGCTCCGTTCGCTCCGCTTTCCTCGCTCCGATCTACAATGCAACAGGTTATGAGCCCAAGCGCCATGTCGTCCACCAGCAACGCCTCCATTGACAAGTTCAACGGAGACAATTACGCAACGTGGAGCCGGTACATGCGCGGTGTGTTTTTGACGAAGTCCGTCTGGCACGTCGTCAACCGTGAAGTGACTCCGACTTTCACCGACCCGCGAGCGTCCGATGACTACGTCAAGGCAAGCAACGTCGCGTTTGGTATGATGCTGCTGCACATGAACGCGGACTACCATCATGTGCTGGACAACTGCGAGGAAGCCTGGGTTGCGTGGACAAGTCTGAAGACGCTGTACGGTGGGTCGCAGAAGGCAGGACGCATCTACCTCAAGCGACAACTTTTCAGTATCAAGATGGCTGAAGGCGCGAACGTCATGCATCACTGCAACGAGGTCCTCAACATCTCCGCCAAGCTTAGCGGCATCGGTGCGAAGATGGAAGACGAAGACGTTGCAATTTGTCTGCTACTCAGTCTTCCGAAGAGCTACGAAAATGTGGTGCTCAACATGGAAATGAGCATCACCGAGCTTCGCACTCAAGATGTGGTGAGAGTCCTGACGAATGAGCATGCCAAGCGTCAAGGAGAAAAAGGGACAACGACAGCGACTACGGTGAAGGCTGAAGATGCAAGCAAGGCATTCAGCGCCGAGCGTGAGCCCTACCAATGCACGTATTGTGGCAAGGTGGGACGCACGGTGGATCGTTGCTGGACAAAGCAGAAGAACGAAGGTCGGGGAGCCCGACGCGGCGGCAATGGTCGTGGACGCGGGGCTAACAATGTCCAGTGGGGACATCAGGATGAAGGCAATGGCTACGATCGAGTGGCGTTTGCAGTCTCGTTCGAATGTGGAGTTTCGACGAGCAAGAACGTGTCTGGAATGTGGGCCGTCGACAGTGGTGCAACGCACCACATTTGCCACGACAAGACCAAGTTCGCAAATTTGGCAGAGCGCAATGAGGGCGAACTCTTGGTGGCTGATGGCAACAAGGTGGCCATCAAGGGTGTGGGAACCATCATGGAAAAGGTGGTTCTGCCCAACGGTGAAGAGCGTGAGATCGAAATCAAGAACGCCCTATATGTTCCAAGTATGAGCAAGAACCTGCTCTCGGTGCCACAGATTAACAGCCATGGCAAGTTTCAAGTCGTGTGTGACGGGTCCAAGATGCATGTGACTCTCAAGAACTCACAGCAAGTGGTGGCGACAGCGGATCTCGTGGATGGACTCTACTGGCTTCGGACGACTCAACGATCAGCGAATGTGACAACAAGTGGAACCAGTTGTGCCGATCTACATGCGAGAATGGGTCATGCTCCAGTCGATGTACTTCGCAAGATGATCGCGACCAACATGATCAAGGATGTGCAAGTCCCTCTCAAGTCGGGTGGAGCAACTACATGTCGAGGATGTCAACAAGGGAAAATGGTCCAAAAACCATTTCCAAGCAACCGAGACAAGCGCAGCTACGATACGTTTGAGCTACTTCATCTGGACATCTGCGGGCACATGGAAAAGGATTCGCTCGGTGGCAGCAAATATTTGCTGCTGATCATCGACGAAGCCAGTGGATGCATGAAGGGCTTTTGTCTACGAGTGAAGTCCGAGAGTTAAGACTGTTGAAAAGACAATGGCTGTGAAGAAGACACCTCGTCAAGCTGCGTCAAGTGTTGGAGCAAGTGGAAGACCAAGCTTCGCTATACCGGTGGGTACCGGTATGTACCAGTAAGGGCGAAGTCAGGAAATGACGTCATTGGATGACGTCAGTGGGTGACGTCAGTGGGTGACGTCACTGGATGACGTCACTGCGAATAATAGGCTTATAGGTAGTATTCAAAGTTGCGAACTAAGTACCTATTATAAATATATATTCACTTTGCGTTTTGCACTCGGACCAAGAAGTCTAAAGTTCTTCAGGTTATGAGCCCAAGTTCGTCAGACTCTGAAACCGCCAACAATTCAAGCTTAGCTGCCATGGACACCTCCTCCCTCCGCATCTCCAAGTTCGATGGAACTAACTTCCACGCCTGGAAGTTCAAGATGCAGATGGTGCTGGAGGAACGGGACCTATGGGAGGTCGTCAGCGGTGAGATCAAGGCGGAACAGTGCGAGACTCAGTTGGACCAAGCGACGTACAAGAGGAAGTCAAGAAAGGCGATGGCAGTGATCTGTCTAGCCATGGAAGATTCCCAGCTACCGTTCGTTCGGTCGGCAAGTGGTGCATGCGACGCATGGTCAAGGTTGGAAGACCACTTCGAGAAGAAGAGTCTTGCCAACAAGCTGTTCTTGCGCCGTCGCTTCTTCACGACAATGATGGAAGAAGGCGACGATGTGCTCGAACGCATCAACAAGCTCAAGACGCTGGCGGAACAGCTAGAAGCGGTGGGGGCTCCAGTCTGCGAGGACGATCTGGTGATCACACTTCTCGGCAGCCTGAGTGACTCGTATCAATCTTGATCACAGCTTTGGAGTCGCGCTCAGACACTCTTAGCTGGGAGCTCGTGACGTCTCGACTGCTTCATGAAGAAATGAAGCGGAAGGAGCAAGGAAGTAAAGGTGATGAAGCTTCGCAAGGTCAAGCGTTCATCACAAGGGACAATCAGCGCAAAGGACGACCAGTGAAGAAGTCCTGGCCGTGCCACAATTGCGGAAAGATTGGTCACTGGATGGCGGAGTGCCCCTCGCGCATCCAAGAAAACACGGAGAGACACCGGCCACAGCGTGCTCAAGACAGCGGCGACCGCTATCGATCACAACGTGCAAACGTCGCTCAAGAAGAAGACTCGGGCGACTACCTTTTTTTGATCGGTGAAACGACATCTGCGAAATCGAGCGACATCTGGCTGGTCGACTCCGGGGCGACGCAGCACATGACGTGCTCCAAGAAGTTCATGCGGAACTACAAGGGGTTTGACGCTGTGGATGTCCATCTCGCGGATGATGGAATCGTCCAAGCAATCGGCAGTGGGGACATTGTCATGTCGATGAAGACACCCCAAGGGATGAAGAAAGGTGTGCTCACAAACGTGTGGCACATCCCAAAGTTATCCAGAAACCTGTTCTCGGTCGGCCGCTTCACCAAGGATGTCGGCCCAGTGACGTTCACGAAGGATGGGTGCTATGGAGAAGCGAAAGGGACCAAGTGGAAAATTGGTGCCCGTGAAGGTAAAGGACTGTTCAAGCTGCAAATGACTCCAGTGGCGCCGGAACAAGCAAATGCAGCCAAGTCGTCGGGATGTCAAGGGGGCACCAAGTCGTACCTCTGGCACCTTCGGCTTGGCCACATAGGTCACGATGGACTCAATTGCATCGTGACGAAGAACATTGGAATTGGCATCGACATATCTTCGGTAAAGAAGTGGGACGTGTGTGAAGGTTGTGCTCTGGGAAAACAGACTCGAGTGCGCTTCCAATCAAACACTACAGCTCGCACCTCCAAACTCCTCGAAGTGATTCACAGCGACGTATGCGGACCGATGTCGATGGCAACTTTCAGTGGAAAACGGTACTTCGTGACATTCATCGATGACAAGTCAAGATACTGTGTCGTCTATCTGCTCAAGAGCAAATCTGAAGTTGCGGCGAAGTTCATGGAATACGATGCGATGGCCGAAACACAAACCGGAAAGCGCTTGAAGTACCTTCAAAGCGACAATGGGGGTGAATACAAGTCCGACAAGCTGGCACGATTCTGCGCGGAACGGGGAATACAACAAAGGTTCACAACCCCATATACTCCTCAGCTAAACGGAGTAGCTGAGAGAATGAATCGCACGCTGGTCGAGTGTGCGCGTTGCATGATGGAACACGCTGGACTGGGAAAGAGCTACTGGGGTGAAGCAGTGATGACGGCGATGTTTCTTCGAAACCGCTGTCCAACACGTGCCATTCACCAAGACAAGTCTCCATATCAAGTGTGGACGATGAAGAAATCGATTCTGGCCAACCTTAAAGTGTTTGGATTCCACGCGTATGTTCAAGTGCCTCAAGACAAACGCGCGAAGTTCGACTCCAAGTCATCACTCTGTCGTTTCCTGGGATACGCCGAACACCAGAAGTCATATCGATTTGAGGAAGTGTCAACAGGAGCGATCAAGATCAGTCGCGATGCCACATTCATGGAAGACAAGTTTGATGAAAGTCCGCGCAACTACAACGATGAGTCAAGTGCCGTTGAGTTTGATGATCAAGACGAGGACGAAGAAAAAGAAGAAGGTAAAACTGACGTCGACATGGACTCGAGCGACGATGACAACGAAGACACCAGGTCTTCGAAGAGCAACATCAAGAGACACACGCGCACTCAATCACTCGAGAAAGCTACCGTCATTTCAAGTCCCAAGCGAAGAACGTACAGAGGTCCGTCGCTTGAGCATGTGTCAGCGGCTGCAATGGATTTTGAAGCAGCCTACATCGTTGATTCAGTGGGGGAAACGCCGACTACATTCAAGTCGGCGATGGAATCAAGCGACTCCGGCAAGTGGAAAGAAGCGTGTGACTCGGAGTTCGACTCGCTTCAGAGAAACGACACGTGGGAAATCGTGCATCTTCCGAAAGGTCGCAAGGCCATCGGGTGCCGATGGGTTTTTCGTGTAAAGGAGAATCAAGATGGCGAAGTTGAACGTTTCAAGGCAAGACTTGTGGCCAAAGGATTCTCACAGAAATTCGGAGTTGACTATGAAGAAACTTTCGCACCGGTGGCCAAGTTCACATCGATTCGTGTGGTGCTCAGTATGGCGGCCAAGTACGGCCTAATGCTACATCAGATGGACGTCAAGACAGCGTTTCTTAACGGCTCCCTCAACGAAGACATCTACATGGACCAGCCGGACGGATACCTGGATGCAACACAGCCGGACTATGTGTGCAAGCTAAAGAGATCACTCTACGGCTTGAAGCAATCGCCTCGCATGTGAAACCAAACAATCGATGGGTTCATGATCAAGATGGGATTCAAGAAGTGCGAATCGGACCACTGCATCTACATCAAGCGAGACGACCAAGACATGATTCTCGTGGTGCTCTACGTCGATGATCTCATCCTGGCCAGCAGCAACAACGAACTCCTCAAGTCGACCAAGATGGCGCTGAGCAAACGCTTCGAAATGACGGATCTCGGTGAGCTCAATTACTTTCTCGGCATGGAGATCAAGAACGACCGTAAGACGGGAATGGTGACTGTGCAACAAACCAAGTTTCTCAAGTCCGTGTTGACCAAGTTCGGAATGGATAACAGCAAGCCAGTGAAGACGCCTCAAGATCCCGGCCTGAAGCTAACCAAGAACATGTGTGAACAAGAATGCAAGCACGAAGACACCATGTGCAACGTGCCATATCGAAGTGCTGTCTGAGGCATCATGTATCTCATGGTCGCCACACGTCCGGATCTAGCTGCTGCAGTGGGATCATTATCCCAGTTCTCGTCCGACCCATGCCCGACTCACTGGCAAGCTTTGAAGCGTGTGCTGAGATACCTGCAAGCAACGCCCAATCATGGTCTTGAGTTTACACGTGAAGAAGGAAGCCGTATCTGCGGGTACACCGACGCAGACTGGGCCGGCGACATTGAGTCAAGACTAAGTACAAGCGGCTATGTGTTCATGATGAACGGAGGATGCATCAGCTGGAAAAGCCAGAAACAACGGACGGTCGCGCTATCTTCAACAGAAGCAGAATACATGGCGCTTTCCGAAGCAACCAAAGAAGCAGTATGGCTCAAAGTGCTTTTGGGGGAACTTGGTGAGATGACAAGCGACGAAGCGATCAAGATGTATGAAGACAACCAAGGATCAATCGCTCTCGCCAAGAACCCGGAGTTCCATAAGAGAACAAAACACATCGACATACGCTACCATTTTGTGCGTGAGAAGGTGGAATCAGGTGAAGTCGTTTTGGAGTATTGCCCGACTCAAGATATGCTGGCAGACATGATGACCAAGCCGATCGCCGCTGTACAATTTGAAAACATTCGCGATCGACTTGGGATCAAGGTGCCGCAGCTAACGAGTCGAGAGGGAGTGTTGAAAAGACAGCGGCTGTGAAGAAGACACCTCGTCAAGCTGCGTCAAGTGTTGAAGCAAGTGGAAGACCAAGCTTCGCTATACCGGTGGGTACCGGTATGTACCAGTAAGGGCGAAGTCAGGAAATGACGTCATTGGATGACGTCAGTGGGTGACGTCACTGGGTGACGTCACTGGATGACGTCACTGCGAATAATAGGCTTAGAGGTAGTATTCAAAGTTGCGAACTAAGTACCTATTATAAATATATATTCACTTTGCGTTTTGCACTCGGACCAAGAAGTCTAAAGTTCTTCAAAGACTACATCCGGAAATATATCACCATGGTACAGACGCAATTCTGTAAGAAGGTCAAGTTCGTGCGACACGACGGAGCTCGCGAGTTTGCAACCAACTCGCTTCAACTGTTCTACGAAGACGAAGGCATTGAACAGCAGACAACGGTGCCGTATGCACATCAAACAAACGGAACAGCAGAGCGTGCCATTAGGACTATTTTCACGATCGGCCGCAGCATGCTTCATCATGCCAAACTGGACAAATGTTTCTGGGCCGAAGCAGCGATGACGGCCATCTACGTCAAGAATCGACTGCCGTCACCTAAAGTCGTGCACAAGGCCCCGTTTGAGATCGTCTACAACTTGAAACCAAGCGTCAAGCACATGCGAACATTCGGGTGTCAGACATACATACTGACGCCTAAAGAGAAGCGACTCAAGTGGGATCTCAAGGCTCGCGCTGGCATATTCGTGGGCTACGAAGAAGTGTCCAAGGCATATCGTGTATTTGACATCGAGGAGGGGCGGGTTGTTGTCAGTCGGGATGTTAACTTCGACGAGTCCACCTTTGGACTTCAACTGCCGATCACTGATGAAGATGTCGATGACCTGGACTTCGAATTGCTGGATCTTGATGACGAAGAGCTGCGTCAAATGGAGTACAAGCAAACAGGCAAGCGCAAGAACCGACTCAATGATGAAGATACAGCAGCTCCACGACCGCGTGCAGTGCGTCAACGACCAGGACTAGAAGAGTCAAGCGCGCCGGAAAACAACTCGTCACGCGAAGAAGAAGACGAAGAAACGAAGGATTCTGGTGATTCAACACCGCCTGTGTTTTGGCGTACGAGTGCAAATGCTGTTGAAGCAGCAGTGGAGTTGTCGGAACCGTCGACATTTGAAGCAGCAGTAAGCGGCCCTGACCAAGTGCACTGGAGAAAAGCAATTCATGCAGAGCTCGAGTCAATGCGACTTCGCGGTGTGTTTCGTGCAGCCAAGCTACCCAACGGACAACGCGCCATTGGCACAAAATGGGTGTTCAAGATCAAGCGCAAGGCGGATGGGTCAATCGAGAAGTACAAGGCACGACTTGTGGCCAAGGGTTTCCGCCAAAAGTATGGCATCGACTACACCGAGACGTTTTCGCCCGTGGTCAAGTATGTGACGCTGCGAATGGTGATCGCAATTTCCAAGCATTTTGGATGGCCCATCGACCAGCTTGATGTGGTGACAGCTTTCCTGTATGGCGTCATGAAGGAACAAGTGTTCTGCGTGATTCCTGAAGGCGTCGAACTTGACAGTACGTTCGACTGCCTGGAATTGGTGAAGTCAATTTACGGCCTCAAGCAAGCGTCGCGAGTGTGGAACGAGACGTTCGACGAGTATGTGTGCTCCATCGGATTTCAAGTATCGGACTTCGACCCATGTCTCTACATCAAGACTTCGGACGGCCATTGCGTGTTTATACTGGTCTACGTGGACGACGTCTTGGTGACTGGAAGCTCGCTCGAGCTGATTGCACAAACCAAGAACGACCTGAAGACGCGGTTCGAGATGACGGACAGCGGCAAGTGTGCGTTTGTTCTTGGGATCGAGCTTTTGGACGGTGAAGATGGCAGTGTGACACTATGTCAGCGTCGGTATGTCGATGATATCCTCAAGCGCTTTGGCATGGATGATTGCAAGGCAGTCGCAAGTCCAGTCGACATGAGCTCTCGACTTGTTTCAAGTGATGCAACTACCAAGGTCGATGCTCCTTTTCGCGAAGCTGTTGGTGCGTTGATGCACCTGACCACTGCAACGCGTCCGGACATTGCATTTGCTGTGGGCTATGTGTCGCGGTTCATGGAAAATCCCCAAGAAGAACACTGGGTTGCAGTTAAGCGTATCTTTCGCTACCTACAAGGCACCAAGACGCATGGAATTTGCTACAAGCCAAGTGCAAGGATCGACTTCCGTGGATATTCGGATGCGGATTGGGCTGGTGATCTTACCGACCGCAAGTCAACATCGGGGTACACGTTCATGCTACTCGGTGCGCCAGTCAGTTGGGGCAGCAAGAAGCAGCCAAGTGTTTCGTTGTCCACGACTGAAGCTGAATACATCGCACTCAGCTTGGCGATTCAAGAGGGCAAGTGGATTCATCGTCTGCTTTGTGAGATCGTGATGGCTGCCAATGAAGAAGGACCGGAACTCATGATTCATGAAGACAATCAATCGTGCATCAAGATGACGAAGAATCCTGTCAACCATGGCCGTGCCAAGCACATTGACATCAAGTACCATCACATCCGTGATGAGGTCAAGCGCGGCGAAGTCAAGCTCAAGTACTGTGAAACTGCGGTGATGTTAGCAGACATCATGACCAAGGCACTTCATGGACCGCGTCACAAGGAGATGACGACGGCTCTCGGGATTCGTGAGCATTCGGATTGAGGGGGCGTGTTGACGGTCATCGGTTTTCTACCAGTATTGGTAACCGTGACCGATCCAATCCGAACCGCCTGTTCAGCTTAGTATTTACGACGTAGTTCTTACGGTAATTACCATAGTTGATTAGACGCGTAGGATGATGAGACGCTTCACATGATTTATATGTGGTACACATATAAATCATGTAGTAAGTAGTAAGCCCCGATAATCAATCACTTTCATATTCTCCTTCTGCCAAGCAAGTCTTCTCTGCTCCGCTCCTCAAGCCTCTTCGCTCCCTCCGGTCTCTTCCGGTCTTCTCGTCACTCCCGTGCCATACCATCAACACTTCGCACTCAAGATGTGGTGAGAGTCCTAACGAATGAGCATGCCAAGCGTCAAGGAGAAAAAGGGACAACGACAGCGACTACGGTGAAGGCTGAAGATGCAAGCAAGGCATTCAGCACCGAGCGTGAGCCTTACCAATACACGTATTGTGGCAAGGTAGGGCACACAGTGGATCGCTGTTGGACGAAGCAGAAGAATGAAGGTCGGGGAGCCCGACGCGGCGGCAATGGTCGTGGACGCGGGGCTAACAATGTCCAGTGGGGACATCATGATGAAGGCAATGGCTACGATCGAGTGGCGTTTGCAGTCTCGTTCGAATGTGGAGTTTCGACGAGCAAGGACGTGTCTGGAATGTGGGCCGTCGACAGTGGTGCAACGCACCACATTTGCCACGACAAGACCAAGTTCGCAAATTTGGCAGAGCGCAATGGTGGCGAAATTTTGGTTGCTGATGGCAACAAGGTGGCCATCAAGGGTGTCGGAACCATCATGGAAAAGGTGGTTCTGCCCAACGGTGAAGAGCGTGAGATCGAAATCAAGAACACCCTATATGTTCCAAGTATGAGCAAGAACCTGCTCTCGGTGCCACAGATTAACAGCCATGGCAAGTTTCAAGTCGTGTTTGACGGGTCCAAGATGTATGTGACTCTCAAGAACTCACAGCAAGTGGTGGCGACAGCGGATCTCGTGGTTGGACTCTACTGGCTTCGGACGACTCAACGATCAGCGAATGTGACAACAAGTGGAACCAGTTGTGCCGATCTACATGCGAGAATGGGTCATGCTCCAGTCGATGTACTTCGCAAGATGATCGCGACCAACATGATCAAGGATGTGCGAGTCCCTCTCAAGTCGGGTGGAGCAACTACATGTCGAGGATGTCAACAAGGGTAAATGGTCCAAAAACCATTTCCAAGCAACCGAGACAAGCGCAGCTACGATACGTTTGAGCTACTTCATCTGGACATCTGCGGGCACATGGAAAAGGATTCGCTCGGTGGCAGCAAATATTTGCTGCTGATCATCGACGAAGCCAGTGGATGCATGAAGGGCTTTTGTCTACGAGTGAAGTCCGAGAGTGAAGACTACATCCGGAAATATATCACCATGGTACAGACGCAATTCTGTAAGAAGGTCAAGTTCGTGCGACACGACGGAGCTCGCGAGTTTGCAACCAACTCGCTTCAACTGTTCTACGAAGACGAAGGCATTGAACAGCAGACAACGGTGCCGTATGCACATCAAACAAACGGAACAGCAGAGCGTTCCATTAGGACTATTGTCACGATCGGCCGCAGCATGCTTCATCATGCCAAACTGGACAAGTGTTTCTGGGCCGAAGCAGCGATGACGGCCATCTACGTCAAGAATCGACTGCCGTCACCTAAAGTCGTGCACAAGACCCCGTTTGAGATCGTCTACAACTTGAAACCAAGCGTCAAGCACATGCGAACATTCGGGTGTCAGACATACATACTGACGCCTAAAGAGAAGCGACTCAAGTGGGATCCCAAGGCTCGCGCTGGCATATTCGTGGGCTACGAAGAAGTGTCCAAGGCATATCGTGTATTTGACATCGAGGAGGGGCGGGTTGTTGTCAGTCGGGATGTTAACTTCGACGAGTCCACCTTTGGACTTCAACTGCCGATCACTGATGAAGATGTCGATGACCTGGACTTCGAATTGCTGGATCTTGATGACGAAGAGCTGCGTCAAATGGAGTATCAGCAAACAGTCAAGCGCAAGAACCGACTCAATGATGAAGATACAGCAGCTCCACGACCGCGTGCAGTGCGTCAACGACCAGGACTAGAAGAGTCAAGCGCGCCGGAAAACAACTCGTCACGCGAAGAAGAAGACGAAGAAACGAAGGATTCTGGTGATTCAACACCGCCTGTGTTTTGCGTGCGAGTGCAAATGCTGTTGAAGCAGCAGTGGAGTTGTCGGAACCGTCGACATTTGAAGCAGCAGTAAGCGGCCCTGACCAAGTGCACTGGAGAAAAGCAATTCATGCAGAGCTCGAGTCAATGCGACTTCGCGGTGTGTTTCGTGCAGCCAAGCTGCCCAACGGACAGCGCGCCATTGGCACAAAATGGGTGTTCAAGATCAAGCGCAAGGCGGATGGGTCAATCGAGAAGTACAAGGCACGACTTGTGGCCAAGGGTTTCCGCCAAAAGTATGGCATCGACTACACCGAGACGTTTTCGCCTGTGGTCAAGTATGTGACGCTGCGAATGGTGATCGCAATTTCCAAGCATTTTGGATGGCCCATCGACCAGCTTGATGTGGTGACAGCTTTCCTGTATGGCGTCATGAAGGAACAAGTGTTCTGCGTGATTCCTGAAGGCGTCGAACTTGACAGTACGTTCGACTGCCTGGAATTGGTGAAGTCAATTTACGGCCTCAAGCAAGCGTCGCGAGTGTGGAACGAGACGTTCGACGAGTATGTGTGCTCCATCGGATTTCAAGTATCGGACTTCGACCCATGTCTCTACATCAAGACTTCGGACGGCCATTGCGTGTTTATACTGGTCTACGTGGACGACGTCTTAGTGACTGGAAGCTCGCTCGAGCTGATTGCACAAACCAAGAACGACCTGAAGACGCGGTTCGAAATGACGGACAGCGGCAAGTGTGCGTTTGTTCTTGGGATCGAGCTTTTGGACGGTGAAGAAGGCAGTGTGACACTATGTCAGCGTCGGTATGTCGATGATATCCTCAAGCGCTTTGGCATGGATGATTGCAAGGCAGTCGCAAGTCCAGTCGACATGAGCTCTCGACTTGTTTCAAGTGATGCAACTACCAAGGTCGATGCTCCTTTTCGCGAAGCTGTTGGTGCGTTGATGCACCTGACCACTGCAACGCGTCCGGACATTGCGTTTGCTGTGGGCTATGTGTCGCGGTTCATGGAAAATCCCCAAGAAGAACACTGGGTTGCAGTTAAGCGTATCTTTCGCTACCTACAAGGCACCAAGACGCATGGAATTTGCTACAAGCCAAGTGCAAGGATCGACTTCCGTGGATATTCGGATGCGGATTGGGCTGGTGATCTTACCGACCGCAAGTCAACATCGGGGTACACGTTCATGCTACTCGGTGCGCCAGTCAGTTGGGGCAGCAAGAAGCAGCCAAGTGTTTCGTTGTCCACGAGTGAAGCCGAATACATCGCACTCAGCTTGGCGATTCAAGAGGGCAAGTGGATTCATCGTCTGCTTTGTGAGATCGTGATGGCTGCCAATGAAGAAGGACCGGAACTCATGATTCATGAAGACAATCAGTCATGTATCAAGATGACGAAGAACCCAGTCAACCACGGCCGTGCCAAGCACATTGATATCAAGTACCATCACATCCGTGATGAGGTCAAGCGCGGTGAAGTGAAGCTCAAGTACTGTGAAACTGCGGTGATGTTAGCGGACATCATGACGAAGGGACTTCATGGACCACGCCACAAGGAGATGACGACGGCTCTCGGGATTCGTGAGCATTCGGATTGAGGGGGCGTGTTGACGGTCATCGGTTTTCTACCAGTATTGGTAACCGTGACCGATCCAATCCGAACCGCCTGTTCAGCTTAGTATTTACGACGTAGTTCTTACGGTAATTACCATAGTTGATTAGACGCGTAGGATGATGAGACGCTTCACATGATTTATATGTACACCACATATAAATCATGTAGTAAGTAGTAAGCCCCGATAATCAATCACTTTCGAATCTTCCAACTATTGGGCAAGTGTTTTCTGCTCTACTCTCTTCGGTCTCTCCGCTCCGTTCGCTCCGCTTTCCTCGCTCCGATCTACAATGCAACACTGAGTCTGGCCATCCAGGAAGGCAAGTGGGTGCAACGCCTGCTATGCGAGATTTTAGCGGCCGCAAATGTTGACGGTCATCGGTTTCTACCAGTATTGGTAACCGTGACCGGTCCAATCCGAACCGCCTGTTCAGCTTAGTATTTACGACGTAGTTCTTACGGTAATTACCATAGTTGATTAGACGCGTAGGATGATGAGACGCTTCACATGATTTATATGTGCACCACATATAAATCATGTAGTAAGTAGTAAGCCCCGATAATCAATCACTTTCCAATCTTCCATCTACCCCCAAGCGTCTTCTCCGGTCTTCCGAGTGGACTCCCAGCATCACTCCCAGTTTCGGTCGTCAAGCTTTACACCTATCAACAGGTTATGAGCCCAAGCACGATGTCCTCTGCTCATGATGCCACCACCAAGATCTCCATTGACAAGTTCGACGGCGACAACTACGCGACGTGGAGCCGCTACATGCGTGGCGTGTTCCTGACCAAGTCGGCGTGGCACGTGGTGAACCGGGAGACCACCCCCACCTTTGCCGATCCTCGCGCCAGTGACGACTACGTCAAGACGAACAACATTGCGTTCGGCTTGATGCTGCTGCACATGAGCGCGGATTATCATCACGTGGTTGATGACTGTGAAGAGGCGTGGGTCGCGTGGGCGCGTTTGAAGACGCTGTACGGCGGGTCGCAGAAGGCTGGACGCATCTACTTGAAGCGTTAGCTGTTCAGCATGGAGATGAAGGAAGGCGGAAATGTCATGCATCATTGCAACAAAGTCCTCAACATCGACGCCAAGATAGAGGACGAGGACGTGGCGATCTGCTTGTTGCGCAGCCTCCCCAAGAGCTACGAGAACGTCGTTCTCAATTTGGAGATGAGCAGCGCGGAACTGCAATCGCGAGACGTCGTGAGAGTGCTCACGAATCAGCACATCAAGAGGCAAGGTGACAAGACGACATCGGTGAAAACTGAAGAAGCGACCAAGGCCTTCAGTACCGAGCGTGAGGTTCGTCAGTGTACGTTTTTTCTGCGGAAAATAGGGGCACACGGCGGAGCGGTGCTGGACCAAGCAGAAGGACGAAAATCAAGGTGGTTTAAAATTTAAATATAATTCACCATCTATTACATTTAATTCTGGTTGTGCTATAAAATGCTTAAGCTCGACGCGGCGGCAACAATGCTCGTGGACGCGGAGCCAACAACGTTCAGTGGCGAACCAACAACAACAACGAAGACAACTACGATCGAGTTGCGTTCGCGGTTTCGCTGGCGGCTGGACTTTCGACGGGCAAGAATATGCCAGGGATGTGGGCAGTCGACAGCGGTGCGACGCATCACATCTGCAAGACAAAGCCAAGTTTGCAAGCCTGAATGAGCGAGAGGAAGGCGAACTATCAGTGGCTGATGGCAGCAAGGCTGCGATCAAGGGTGTGGGACACATCATGGAGCGGGTGGTTCTGCCCAATGGTGACGAACGCGACATCAAGATCAAGGACGCACTGTTCGTACCAAGTATGAGCAAGAATCTGCTCTCGGTGCCACAGATCAACAAGGGTGGCAGGTTCCAAGTCGTGTTCGATGGATCCAAGATGCAAGTGAAGCGCAAGAAATCTACACAAGTCGTGGCGACAGCGGATCTCGTCGATGGACTTTACTGGCTGCGGACTCCTCAACGATCGGCAAATGCAGCAACACGCAATGGGACCATCGCCTTGCATGCGCGCATGGGTCATGCACCCCTCGAAGTTCTGCGCAAGACGGTGGCCACTGGCATTATCAAGGACGCCAAGGCACCTCTCAACTCGACTGGTCCAAGTGTGTGCCGCAGTTGCCAGCAAGGAAAGATGGTCCAAAAACCATTCCCAACCAACCGTGACAAACGCCAACATGGTATGTTCGAGTTGCTGCACTTCGACATCTGCGGGCCAATGGAACAAGTCTCGATCGGCGGCAGCAGATACTTACTGCTTGTGGTTGACGAAGCCAGAGGTTGCATGAAGGGCTTCTGTCTGCGGTCCAAGTCTGAGAGTGAAGACTGTATCAAGAACCACATTATCAAGATTCAAACTCAGTTCGGCACGAAGATCAAGTTTGTTCGGCACGATGGAGCGCATGAGTTTGCGACCAACTCCATCAAGACCTTCTACGAAAATCATGGTATCGAACAACAGATCACGGTGCCGTATGCACACCAGACCAACGGCACCGCAGAACGCGCGATATGGACCATCGTGACGACCGGACGCAGCTTGTTGCATCATGCAAAACTGGAGAAGTGTTTCTGGGCTGAAGAGGCAATGACGGCGATCTACATCAAGAACCGCCTGCATTCACCCAAGATCGACCACAAGACTCCGTTCGAAATCGTGTACAAGTCGAAACCAAGTGTCAAGCACATGCGCGTGTTTGGATGTCGGGCGTTTATCCTGACACCAAGGGAGAAGCGATTGAAGTGGGACCCGAAGGCTCGTGAAGGGATATTCATGGGCTACGAAGAAGCGTCAAAAGCTTATCGAGTGTACGACATTGAGGCGGACCAAGTGGTGATCAGTCGTGACATCACCTTCGACGAATCGACTATTGATTTTTCGATGGACCGACCAAGTGACGATGATGAAGATGCGGAGTTGGACCTCGACCTCCTGGCGATCAACGAGGACGACGTGCGTCAAACCGTCTACAAGCAGACTGGCAAGCGCAATAGTGAAGCAAGACCCGGCATGTCACGTTCAGCTCGCCCTCGAACTGGGTTGGAACAAGCAAGTGCGCCGGAACACGTCTCCAACCGTCACCAGAAACGACGATCAAGTGCTCCAGAAACGATGTCTGATGACGAAGAAGATGCAAGCGTCTACGATCAAGATGACGACTCGACGCCTCCAACATTTTGGCGTGCAAGTGCAACGCAGTGGAAGCAACGGACCTAGCAGAACCTGTGACTTTTCAAGACGCGATCAATGGTCCTGATCAAGCTCACTGGCGAAATGCTGTGAAGGCGGAACTTGTTGACGGTCATCGGTTTCCTACCAGTGTTGGTAACCGTGACTGGTCCAATCCGAACCGCCTGTTCAGCTTAGTATTTACGACGTAGTTCTTACGGTAATTACCATAGTTGATTAGACGCGTAGGATGATGAGACGCTTCACATGATTTATATGTGCACCACATATAAATCATGTAGTAAGTAGTAAGCCCTGTTGCATTGTAGATCGGAGCGAGGAAAGCGGAGCAAACGGAGCGGAGAGACCGAAGAGAGTAGAGCAGAAAACACTTGCCCAATAGTTGGAAGATTCGAAAGTGATTGATTATCGGGGCTTACTACTTACTACATGATTTATATGTGGTGCACATATAAATCATGTGAAGCGTCTCATCATCCTACGCGTCTAATCAACTATGGTAATTACCGTAAGAACTACGTCGTAAATACTAAGCTGAACAGGCGGTTCGGATTGGACCGGTCACGGTTACCAATACTGGTAGAAAACCGATGACCGTCAACACGCCCCCTCAATCCGAATGCTCACGAATCCCGAGAGCCGTCGTCATCTCCTTGTGGCGTGGTCCATGAAGTCCCTTCGTCATGATGTCCGCTAACATCACCGCAGTTTCACAGTACTTGAGCTTCACTTCACCGCGCTTGACCTCATCACGGATGTGATGGTACTTGATATCAATGTGCTTGGCACGGCCGTGGTTGACTGGGTTCTTCGTCATCTTGATACATGACTGATTGTCTTCATGAATCATGAGTTCCGGTCCTTCTTCATTGGCAGCCATCACGATCTCACAAAGCAGACGATGAATCCACTTGCCCTCTTGAATCGCCAAGCTGAGTGCGATGTATTCGGCTTCACTCGTGGACAACGAAACACTTGGCTGCTTCTTGCTGCCCCAACTGACTGGCGCACCGAGTAGCATGAACGTGTACCCCGATGTTGGCTTGCGGTCGGTAAGATCACCAGCCCAATCCGCATCCGAATATCCACGGAAGTCGATCCTTGCACTTGGCTTGTAGCAAATTCCATGCGTCTTGGTGCCTTGTAGGTAGCGAAAGATACGCTTAACTGCAACCCAGTGTTCTTCTTGGGGATTTTCCATGAACCGCGACACATAGCCCACAGCAAACGCAATGTCCGGACGCGTTGCAGTGGTCAGGTGCATCAACGCACCAACAGCTTCGCGAAAAGGAGCATCGACCTTGGTAGTTGCATCACTTGAAACAAGTCGAGAGCTCATGTCGACTGGACTTGCGACTGCCTTGCAATCATCCATGCCAAAGCGCTTGAGGATATCATCGACATACCGACGCTGACATAGTGTCACACTGCCTTCTTCACCGTCCAAAAGCTCGATCCCAAGAACAAACGCACACTTGCCGCTGTCCGTCATTTCGAACCGCGTCTTCAGGTCGTTCTTGGTTTGTGCAATCAGCTCGAGCGAGCTTCCAGTCACTAAGACGTCGTCCACGTAGACCAGTATAAACACGCAATGGCCGTCCGAAGTCTTGATGTAGAGACATGGGTCGAAGTCCGATACTTGAAATCCGATGGAGCACACATACTCGTCGAACGTCTCGTTCCACACTCGCGACGCTTGCTTAAGGCCGTAAATTGACTTCACCAATTCCAGGCAGTCGAACGTACTGTCAAGTTCGACGCCTTCAGGAATCACGCAGAACACTTGTTCCTTCATGACGCCATACAGGAAAGCTGTCACCACATCAAGCTGGTCGATGGGCCATCCAAAATGCTTGGAAATTGCGATCACCATTCGCAGCGTCACATACTTGACCACAGGCGAAAACGTCTCCGTGTAGTCGATGCCATACTTTTGGCGGAAACCCTTGGCCACAAGTCGTGCCTTGTACTTCTCGATTGACCCATCCGCCTTGCGCTTGATCTTGAACACCCATTTTGTGCCAATGGCGCGTTGTCCGTTGGGTAGCTTGGCTGCACGAAACACACCGCGAAGTCGCATTGACTCGAGCTCTGCATGAATTGCTTTTCTCCAGTGCACTTGGTCAGGGCCGCTTAGTGCTGCTTCAAATGTTGAGGGTTCTGATAAGTCCACTGCTGCTTCAACGGCATTTGCACTCGCACGCCAAAACACAGGCGGTGTTGAATCACCAGAATCCTTCGTTTCTTCGTCTTCTTCTTGTCGTGACGAGTTGTTTTCCGGCGCGCTTGACTCTTCTAGTCCTGGTCGTTGACGCACTGCACGCGGTCGTGGAGCTGCTGTATCTTCATCATTGAGTCGGTTCTTGCGCTTGCCTGTTTGCTTGTACTCCATTTGACGCAGCTCTTCGTCATCAAGATCCAGCAATTCGAAGTCCAGGTCATCGACATCTTCATCAGTGATCGGCAGTTGAAGTCCAAAGGTGGACTCGTCGAAGTTGACATCGCGGCTGATAATCACCTGCCCCGCCTCGATGTCATAAACACGATATGCCTTCGAAACTTCTTCGTAGCCCACGAATATGCCAGCGCGAGCCTTTGGATCCCACTTGAGTCGATTCTCTTTAGGCGTCAGTATGTATGTCTGACACCCGAATGTTCGCATGTGCTTGACGCTTGGTTTCAAGTTGTAGACGATCTCAAACGGGGTCTTGTGCACGACTTTAGGTGACGGCAGTCGATTCTTGACGTAGATGGCCGTCATCGCTGCTTCGGCCCAGAAACACTTGTCCAGTTTGGCATGATGAAGCATGCTGCGGCCGATCGTGACAATAGTCCTAATGGAACGCTCTGCTGTTCCGTTTGTTTGATGTGCATACGGCACCGTTGTCTGCTGTTCAATGCCTTCGTCTTCGTAGAACAGTTGAAGCGAGTTGGTTGCAAACTGTTGTAACTTGAGCGCGAGGCGAAGAGAAAACGAAGCGGAGAGACCGGAGAGAACGAAGCAGAGAACACTTGCTCACTTGAGGGAGGATTCGAAAGTGATTGATTTATAGGTCTTAACTTCTGCCTACCCTAGACTGCATCCAATCACATGGTGCATCTAATCAACCTGATTTACACGCGTTCAATCATCCTACGCGTCTAATCATCTCTGAGGTAATTACCGATGTAAAAACTATCTCGTAAGAACTACGCGCTAGGTTCGGATTGTACCGGTAACCCTCAATACGCCCCCTCAATCCGAACACGCACGGATGCCAAGCGCCGCCGTCAAGTCCTTGTGACGCGGTCCGTGAAGTCCCTTCGTCATGATGTCCGCCAACATCAACGTCGTCTCGCAGTATTCAAGCTTCACTTCGCCGCGCTTGACTTCATCACGGATGTGATGGTACTTGATGTCGATATGTTTAGCGCGGCCGTGGTTGACCGGATTCTTCGTCATCTTGATGCACGACTGGTTGTCTTCACGGATGACGAGCTCGGGTCCTTCTTCGTTTGCAGCCGCCATGATCTCGCACAGCAAGCGATTGATCCACTTGCCTTCTTGGATCGCCAGGCTGAGCGCGATGTACTCCGCTTCGCTTGTAGACAGTGACACACTTGGCTGTTTCTTGCTGCCCCAACTCACCGGAGCACCCAATAGCATGAAGACGTAGCCGGACGTCGATTTGCGATCAGCAAGGTCACCGGCCCAGTCTGCATCTGAATAGCCACGAAAGTCGATCTTCGCACTTGGCTTGTAGCAGATTCCATGCATCTTGGTGCCTTGTAGGTAGCGGAAGATGCGCTTGACTGCAACCCAGTGTTCTTCTTGGGGTTTCTCCATGAACCGTGACACAAAGCTTACAGCATAGGCGATGTCCGGTCGCGTTGCAGTCGTCAGATGCATCAAAGCACCCACTGCTTCACGGAATGGGACATCCACCTTGCTTGCAGAGTTGCTTGGAACCAGTCGAGAGCTGACGTCCACCGGACTTGCCACAGCCTTGCACTCATCCATTCCAAAGCGCTTGAGGACATCGTCGACATAACGGCGCTGACACATAGTCACGCTGCCATCTTCACCGTCCAATAACTCGATCCCAAGAACAAAGGCACACTTGCCGCTGTCCGTCATCTCGAAGCGTGTCTTGAGGTCGTTCTTGGTGCGCGCAATCATCTCGAGCGAGCTTCCAGTCACCAAGACATCGTCCACGTAGACCAGCACAAAAACACAATGGCCTTCCGAAGTCATGATGTAGAGACATGGATCGAATCCCGACGCTTGAAAACCAATCGAGCGTATGAACTCGTCGAAGGTCTCGTTCCAAACACGCGAGGCTTGCTTGAGACCGTAGATCGCCTTGATCAGCTCGAGACAGTCGAAATCACCTTCCATCTTGACGCCTTCCGGAACAGCGCAGAACACCTTCTCCTTCATCACTCCATACAGGAACGCAGTCACCACATCGAGCTGGTCGAGGGGCCATCCAAAGTGCTTGGTAATGGCGATGACCATTCGCAGCGTCACATACTTGACCACGGGAGAAAACGTCTCTGTGTAGTCGATTCCATACTTCTGGCGAAAGCCTTTTGCTTGCCACAAGACGTGCTTTGTACTCTCGATGGATCCGTCCGCTTTGCGCTTGATCTTGAAGACCCACTTTGTGCCAATGGCGCTTTGTCCGTTGGGTAACTTGGCCGCACGAAAGACACCGCGAAGCTTCATCGAATCGAGCTCCGCATCAATTGCCTTGCGCCAGTGTACTTGGTCCGGGCCAGACACTGCTTCTTCAAATGTCGACGGCTCCGAAAAATCGACCGCTGCTTCGACGGCGTTTGCACTCGCATGCCAAAACGAGGAGGAAGTCGGTGTGTCATGTTGTTCCTCCGACTTCCTTTCTTCATCTTCGTTGGCTCGACGTGAAGAGAGGTCATCCGGCGCACTTGACTCTTCCAATCCGGGTCGTTGGCGCACTGCTCGGGGCATTCTTGCGTCGTCATTGTCGTGACTGGGTTGGGCCTTGCGCTTTCCTGTTTGTTTGAAGTGTCTCGGACGCGGTTCTTCATCATCAAGATCGATCGATTCGAAGTCCAGGCCATCAACATCGTCATCGGAAATCAGCATCGACATTCCAAAGGCCGACTCATCGAAGTTGACATCGCGACTTATCATCACCTGCCCCGCTTCGATGTCGTAAACTCGATACGCTTTTAAAACTTCTTCGTATCCCATGAACACACCTGCACGAGCCTTGGCATCCCACTTGAGTCGTTTCTCCTTCGGGGTCAAGATGTATGCTTGGCACCCAAAAACGCGCATGTGCTTGACACTTGGCTTAGAATTGTAGACAATCTCGAACGGTGTCTTGTGTGGAATCTTGGGTGACGGCAAACGGTTCTTCACATAGACGGCCGTCATTGCCGCTTCAGCCCAGAAGCACTTGTCCAACTTGGCATGATGGAGCATGCTACGACCGATGGTGACGATAGTTCGAATCGCGCGTTCAGCAGTTCCATTGGCTTGATGTGCGTATGGCACCGTGGTTTGTTGCTCGATGCCTTCGACTTCGTAGAAATCTTGAAGCGAGTTCGTCGCAAACTCGCGGGCTCCATCGTGTCGCACAAATTTGACCTTCTTGTTGAACTGCGTCTGTATCATCGTGATGTACTTCTTGATGCACTCTTCGCTCTCTGACTTGGAATGCAGACAAAAACCCTTCATGCATCCGCTGGCTTCATCCACGATCAGCAGCAGATACTTGCTGCCACCCAGAGATTTTTCTTCCATGGGTCCGCAGATGTCGAAGTGGAGCATCTCGAAGGTGTTGTAGGTGCGCTTGTCACGATTACTGGGGAATGGTTTTGGACCATCTTCCCTTATTAACATCCGCGACATACACTTGATCCATTCGGCTTGGAAGGGATGTGAGCGTCCTTGATCATGTGGCTTGTCACCATCCTGCGAAGCACGTCGACTGGAGCATGGCCCATTCGCGCATGTAGATCAACAGCGTTGCTGAGTGATGTCGCATTGGCCGATCGCTGCGTCGTGCGAAGCCAGTAGAGTCCGTCTACAAGATCCGCAGCTGCCACCACTTGATTGGAATCCTTGCGAGCGACGTACATCGTATCCCCGTCAAACACCACTTGGAAGTTGCCGTGCTTATTAATCTGCGGCACCGAGAGCAGATTTTTGCTCATGCTGGGCACATAGAGCGCGTTCTTGATCTCGATCTCGCGCTCTTCCCCGTTTGGCAGAATCACCTTTTCCACGATGGTCCCCACACCTTTGATGGCCGCCTTGTTGCCATCAGCCACCAGGATCTCGCCATCATTGCCTTCGACCAAGCTTGCAAACTTGAACTTGTCGTGGCAGATGTGATGTGTTGCCCCGCTGTCAACGGCCCACATTCCTGGTCCATTCTTGTTCGTCGAAACTCCGCATTCGAACGAAACTGCAAACGCCACTCGATCGTAGCTGTTGCCTTCATCATAATGTCGCCACTGGACATTGTTTGCCCCGCGTCCACGACCATTGCCGCCGCGTTGGGCTCCTCGACTTTCATCCTTTTGCTTCGTCCAGCAACGCTCTGCCGTGTGCCCCACCTTGCCGCAGTATGTGCATTGGTAGGGCTTGCGCTCGGTACTGAATGCCTTTGTCGCATCTTCAGTCTTCACCGTTGTCGTTGCCGTTGTCATCTTCTCGCCTTGTCGCTTGATGTGCTCGTTAGTCAGCACCTTGGCCACATCTTGCGTGCGCAGCTCTGCATTGCTCATCTCCAAGTTCAGAACCACGTTCTCGAAACTCTTCGGGAGACCGAGCAGCAAGCAGATCGCAATGTCTTCGTCTTCCATCTTGGCACCGATGCTGCTGAGCTTGGCGCCGATGTTCAAGACTTCGTTGCAATGGTGCAAGACGTTGGCACCTTCCGCCATCTTGATGCTGAACAGCTGGCGCTTGAGGTAGATGCGTCCCGCCTTCTGCGACCCACCATAGAGCATCTTCAACCGCGACCACGCTGTCCATGCTTCTTCACAGTTGTCGACCACATGGTGGTAGTCGGCGTCCATGTGGAGCAACATCAACCCGAACGCGATGTTGCTCGCCTTGACGTACTCGTCGGAAGCTCGCGTGTCGGTGAAGGTTGGAGACGTTTCGCGGTTCACGACGTACCAGACTGACTTCGTCAGAAACACGCCGCGCATGTAGCGACACCAGGTTGAGTAGTTGTCCCCATCGAACTTATCGATGGAGACACTGGCAGAGGTGTTGTTGGACGACATGGCGCTTGGGCTCATAACCTGTTGTAACTTGAGCGCGAGGCGAAGAGAAAACGAAGCGGAGAGATGTTGTAACTTGAGCGCGAGGCGAAGCGAAAACGAAGCGGAGAGACCGGAGAGAACGAAGCAGAGAACACTTGCTCACTTGAGGGAGGATTCGAAAGTGATTGATTTATAGGTCTTAACTTCTGCCTACCCTAGACTGCATCCAATCACATGGTGCATCTAATCAACCTGATTTACACGCGTCCAATCATCCTACGCGTCTAATCATCTCTGAGGTAATTACCGATGTAAAAACTATCTCGTAAGAACTACGCGCTAGGTTCGGATTGTACCGGTAACCCTCAATACGCCCCCTCAATCCGAACACGCACGGATGCAAAGCGCCGCCGTCATGTCCTTGTGACGCGGTCCGTGAAGTCCCTTCGTCATGATGTCCGCCAACATCAACGTCGTCTCGCAGTATTTAAGCTTCACTTCGCCGCGCTTGACTTCATCACGGATGTGATGGTACTTGATGTCGATGTGTTTAGCGCGGCCGTGGTTGACCGGATTCTTCGTCATCTTGATGCACGACTGGTTGTCTTCACGGATGACGAGCTCGGGTCCTTCTTCGTTTGCAGCCGCCATGATCTCGCACAGCAAGCGATTGATCCACTTGCCTTCTTGGATCGCCAGGCTGAGCGCGATGTACTCCGCTTCGCTTGTAGACAGTGACACACTTGGCTGTTTCT